GGGTGTACAGGGTCTCACTACTAGATCAGACTCGTAGTGACCCGCCTGTTTACAGCCTCCTAAGAGCTGGGATTACAGGCACGCGCCACCATACCCAGTCTCAATTGCTGTCTCAACACACCCTGGAGACAGGGCAGGCCTGGGGTTTGAACCCCCAGCCCCTGCACATGCTTGCAGGCACTTTAATCTGCTGAGCTATTTGGCTGACCCTCCAGTTTGGCTTTTTTCACTCAACACTTTTTTTTTGAGATTCACTTGTGTTGCTATATATATATCAGTACTTCATTTTTAAAATTTTTCATTGGCATTTATTGGTGAGTAAGATTCTTTTCTGTGAATGTACTACAATCTGGGGTCCATTCATCTTTGGACGTTGTTTCAGTTTGGGGGCTATTACAAATAAAGCTGATAGGGGGCTGGACAAATAGCTCAGCGATTTAATATGGGGTCTCATTATGCAGGTCAGATTTGTAGTGATCCTCCTGTCTCGGCCTCCCCAGTACTAGGATTACAGGCAAGTACCACTCAGAGTGGTAGGGTTGGCACAATATGTGGTACAAGGCATCGAACTTGGGTCCTTGAGCTTCCCAGGCAGGTGCTCAGGCTGCTGAACTATCTCCCCAGCCCTAGTCTACTTCTATATTGCAGGATATCATGTTATAAACTGAGACTTCACTTGGGTCCTAATGCACACAGTAAATCTGCTGGAGCTTTCACTAGGTCCACAGAATTGAAGCCCAGCACAAAATTAAGGTATTTGGGCTTCTAAATTATTTGTACAAAGGATAACTTCAGATCTGCCCATTTACACAATTTATCTGAGGGAGTCAAGGGCCCTGGAAGCTTCCTAGGAAGACCACCTGGGCTACTCTCCTTGAAAGAGGAGCAATTGTCTCCATTTTGGCTGAGCATGACCCTATTTCCAGGTACTGATCTGTACAGAGCTGGCTAGACTTTTCCTTATCCCTTCCATTGGCTTTAAGCAATGCATGTCAGTCCAGCTGACGGCTGTCTTTGAAGATGACAGGTGTGTTTCCCCAGAGCCCCCCTCATTGTTCCCTTGTGTGAGACAGAACGAGGGATGAAGAGCCAGTGCTCCAAGCTATCTGCGGGCACTGAGCTAGAGGCTGTGACTTCCTGGGGCTTGAAAGACCGCCCATCAGAGCTGAAGCACCGACCCCAAAACATTACATACTACCTCAGCTGAATAATGAAGACCACTCTTTCTGCATATCCTTCTCTGTATAGTGCAGGGGTGATTTCCCGCCTCCTACCCAGCCCCGCTCACAGCACTCGTTTCCCGCCATTCTCCCAGGCACTCATCTGCACACCACTCCATCCTTCATGAGTGAATAAAACCTGGATTCAGCCGTAGGTCCAGGCCTTTGTTCCAGAAGCCATCGTCATGGCTGGACTCGGGACCCCTTGGTTCCCCACAGCCACAGATATGCCTTAGTGTCGTTATTCTCACCATGGGTTGGTTGCACCGGAAGTGATAGGTTGGAATTAACTTACTAAAATTCCAGTAACTTTTCCCTGGGATGACAAACATAAACTTCCCAGGCTGCAACAAGGACTGGGAAGGGCTCACTATACCCCACTTTGTAGCTGTGAGATTTGAACAGATGATTTGACCTTTCCATACCTTGGTTTTCTTCCTTGTAAGAGGGGATGATAATCTCACATATCTCATAGAGGTATTTTAAGGGTTAAATTAAAAAGGATGTGAAGCAGATAATATCAGCGTTACCAGTTGGCCATTACTAGTGCTCCCACCACTACTTCCACTACTACTGGCGCCACTGGCACCATCTTACCCGCCGCCCTCCTCCTCCGGATGTGAGAGCAGGGCAGGTGTGGCTCGGGGCTGGAGTCTGTTCAGGGCAGCTGCAAGTCTTCATTCTCCTGGCAGACGGCAGATGGCGAGGTGGAAGGGTGTGCTTTCTCATCGCTGGGCCTGTGGCCAGGTGGCACACAGTCTTGTCTTCCCAGCTGAAACTGAGAGTGCTCGTCCCAAGACATTATTTCTGCATTGGTGATAGACTGCAGGAGCATGGTGGGAGCAACCTTCTGTCCCGCAAGCTAACCACGCACGCACGCAGCAGACTTAGAGCGATCCATTATGGCATTACCATTATGATGTGGAGGGCGATACTAGGTTCCAAGGAAACACTCAGAGCACAGCCCCTACGGCAGAGATTGTTTATACATCAAAGAGAATTGCTCAGAGAATTTCTGAAATTCAAGGAGACATCCAATTTTCCCCAAGACTTTTATTTTTAAAATTTGTGACACAAAGTCCTGCTATGTTGTAGTTCAGACTGGCCTTGAACTCACTATGTAGCCCTTGCTGGCCTCAAATTTGTAGTGAGCCTCCTGTCTCAGCCTTCTAGGTGCTGGGATTACAGGCGTGCACCACCATGCCTGGCTAGTAT